AATATTAATGTCTTTTTCTTTTGAAAATTGAGTTTTTGGTATTATTCTGAGAAGCAAAATAATATATCTGCTGATGATTACGCAGCTAGTTATATGCGTTTTATTTTGTTTTTCAGTTTCTTTGATCTCAAACTTGCATTTCGTCACATACGCTCGGATAAACGGATGGGTAAAGGGTAAAAATGCTCCAGCAACAGACAGAATGCGAGTAAAGACACACTCGCTTGTACGACGCGCGGAACGCGACTGAAGGCGCATCGAAGCGCCGGTCTGAGAGGAGGAATCACCGGTTCGACGCGGCGCCGCACTCTTATGCGCCCACGCTCGCGCACGTGTCGAAGGACTCGCGAATTTACCCCCGAAGAATAAAACAATATACCTCCGTGATGTATTAATAATAAAATATGATATGACATTAGCTTTTATTACGTGGTTTGTTGATTGAGACAAAATGATATAGAAAGACAAAGCCGGTGACCAAGAAAGAAAGAAAGAGAGAGGGAGGGGGGAGGGGGAGAGGAGAGAGAGAGAGAGAGAGAAGAGAAAAGAATAAGAAACAAATTTACATATTGTAAAATTAAATTACTTCAAATTAAATTACTTTTAATCAAATAAATTTAATTAAAAAGAATACAAGCGTAAATTGATGTAGTTTTTCACGATAAAAAGGTTTAATTCTATATAAAGTAAGGAATATAAAAGATAATATTTAATTTTTTATTTTAAAGGTACGAAAATATTATTAATCTCACTTCTTTTTTGGAATAAGATGGAGTGAAATTTCACTCAAAGAGAATGAAAATTGTCATTCTTTTTTAAGAAATGAAATATTTTCACTTCTTCTAAAAATGATCGTATTTCTACTCTGTCAGAGTGAGATTTTACTTCAAGAAATTTAGAGAGTGAGATAACTGATTTTAGGCATTTTGTTAGTAAGAATAAATTAATATTTATAAGCAATATAATATATTATATAGAAACATATATGTGAGTGATAACACAAATTATAGAAATTAAAGCTTTAAACGGTCTAGCTAGATTTTAAATGCTTGTATGATTCTTGTGTGAATTTATACTACGTATATAGTCCCCAGAAACGCGCGCCGAAATTTATCGGTCTCAGAAAACGCTGACTCTACTAAACTACCGCAGTAATATCACGAGTTAAATGACTAGCAATTTAACAAATTTTTGATGCGTATTTGCATCTTTGAAATGATCTTAATATAATGTTGAATAACATTATTAAGATCGTTATTAAAATCGTATTAAAATCTATAAATAATTAATTCTTATTGCGAAAAATATTACGTCGGCCGAGAGTCAAACCCGGATCTCTTGCATTCTGTGCGAGCTAAGCCTGTCCTAAGCCTTTGAACTACCGAGGTCTTAATAATATTCCTCGCAATAATTGGCACATGAAGGAATAACGTCTCTTTAGGTGACATAAATAAATAATACAATATATTATAGGACCATATATGTGATAACACAAACTATAGAAATCAAAGCCTTAAACGGCAAGAACCATACAAGCATTTAAAATCCAACTAGACCGTTTAAGGCTTTGATTTCTATAGTTTATGATATTTATGATACAAAAATATAAACTGCATATGTATGTGTATAAAGATTTATAGCAACATATAATACATATAACATTTGCACTATTTAAATTTCAATAACGACATTTCATGCCTATCTGACCAATTGCTTATTTTCGGGTCATTGAATAGGTTGAGCTCGAATAGGTTTCAAGAATAATCCGTGAAATTAATTAACTAAACGAGATCTCGCGATAGAGTTAAAACCATTGATTGCATTTGATCGAAATTGACTGGAATTAATTCAAGCCAATCGAGAGAGATAAAGATAAGTTCACACAATAAAATCCGATCACTTGTTGGATGCAACAAGTACCTGTATTTATCCAGAATTGGCAAATATGCTGATACAATTACACGCGTGTTTGTTAATGTTTGCTAAATAGTTTTATTAAACAACTATTATAACTATATATTTGGGTAAAGAAAGTTATAAACTATATGTAAAAATTATAAAAAGTTTAATATTAGATAGAGACATTTCTTGTAATTTTTTTTTCTTTGTAAATTTGTTTGTAAATCTTTATCCTTTCTTTGTAAATTTCTTACCATTTCCTTTTACTTTTATTTATTTCTTAATAATTGTGTTATATATAATATTTACTGATTTTTTATTATTAACAGATACGCATAAAATTTTACAATTTTAGTATTGATTCAATATTATAATTTAATATTATAATTCAATAGATATTGATTTGATATGTTTCGTATAATGCTTCTTGATACTCATCAATTTATTTATTATAGATTTCTCTGTTTGATATGCATAATGTCCACAATCTTAAATTCTGACCACACAATGAACATCGCTACAAATTACGGTACATGTTCCAACACGTAACATGCAACCCGCATTTCGCTGCGTATGCACAGAAGGTGTCATTAAAATTTTGTAATACCTATATGTATATTCCAAGTGCATCCAAATGTCGCGCGAATGCATGTTTAACAGAACGGAAGTTACGCCTGCCCGCGTTTCGACAAGAAACCGATAATAATGGACTTGACGTAAGCTCTACGCGCCGAAAAGGCGCCCTTTATTGTCATTCGTATCAATGCATCGATGATGTATGCGGAATATTGAGCAGATCGCAGTAGAAATTGAAAAAGACTTGATCGAAATCCAGCTGAAGAAGAACTCTGTGATATAAAAATTAATCACTTAATTTTTATATATTATGTAATTCTTACATCGCATTGTTCATAGGGTCATATTAAGACAACTTTCCTATTGTTTTAAACGCAATTAATAGAAATATTCCATAATTGTTATCTCTGTGCATCAAAAAATCAGTTATTAATTAATATAATAATATTAATTATGCTACAATCTCGACAATTGTCACTGTCGATCGAATAGTCTGACTTTATTATTAATAAGTATAACATTATGCTTGCTCTGCTATTCGCAAATGATGAATGTAATATTTAGTACTGTCACGATAATAAAAATTTATTATCATTTTTCCTAGCTATTTTGTATGCATTTCTCTTCTTTATTTCCAAAATTGTGGAGACATGTTCTTACAAAATGTACCTTATTCTTCTGATTCAATAGGAGTGATTTTAGGAAAAATATTGTTTGAAAGACGGAGGAAATGAGATAAATTGAGAAATAAAATGTGAATTTGATGTGAATATAAATAGTAGCACAAACTAAAAAAGATGATGAAAGTAAAACATAATTTTTTGCCTTTTTTTAATACATTCAATAAGCTTCCATAATATAATCTCAAGATTATTATCAATACGCGAAAAAGTGCACTCATCTCTGATTTACTTTTTATATATGGTTTTTTACTCGGTAAAATATCCTTCCATTCATATTTTTTGCAAACTTTTATTATTGTTTTTATGTAAATATATGAAATAAATGTTTTTATAACATGTATGGGCTTTTCTCTTGCGTTTTTTTGTACTTCATTTACGCGATTCTCAACCGCGTGAAAAAAAAATCGTGGAATGAATAGGTACTCCGTGGGTATAAATCAAGGGACGAGTGTATTCGCCAACCACTTATAGTTATTAACTGCCACTCTAAATAGCACACATCCCTTCTAAACTAAATCTGCCACGTACCAACATTCAAAGCTATAAATTGTTCTTTTTCTGATAATTTTTATCGGTTTTTATATCTTTGTAATTTTATCTAGAGAGTGAGTGAATGATATAGAACAGGGTATGCGTTAATTAAACGTTTTTGTTACAAACTGACAATGAGTAAAAGTTTCTGTGTAATGTGTTTCTCACATTTACGGTCTAAAATAATATTCTTATTGATAATATATAAAAAATTGCATATCTATAAGAAATATGTATATCTTTTATATTTTTATTAATATTCAAACGTTCTAATTCATATTGATGTAATATTTATATTATGACCTATTTTAACTATAATAATATACAGTGTAAGCGGAATTACCTTGTAGAGAGATAAGATTTCTTAAGTAATTTTCTAGCTACTCTTATTAAATAATTATTTGGCAGATTATAATTATCAGGGCCTCTATTCTGCAATTCTTAACAACATTGTCGATGATATTACATTGCTCAATGTTTTACCATGTATAAAACTTACGCAATGATAACGTACATCGACATTGTTTCGTTAAGAATCACAAAATAAGGGTTCACAAATAGCGTTAAATTAACAAAAAAAAAGATGTCATGGTATTTTATAAAGAGTGCGAAAAGAAGAATATGAATATCAACATTTTAAAAAGTAATACAGATCGCACTAAAAAAAAGAGAGAGAAGAAGAGGAGAGAGAGATAACGTTTAAACACCTCTTTTAAATGAATTATAAGTGAATGATTTTTTTATTCGACAAACTTGTAAATTAATTAGGCCAAGAAGAAAAGATTATACTACGCACAGTAATCTTTCTCTCTTTATTTGTTTACTTTATTTGTTTACAAATATTCTATATATTAAATTAAATAAATGTTAAAATAAGTTATGTAAAATTGATCATTTTTTATTTATAATAAGTAAAATATTATATATTTACATATTTATTAAAATTTATTAAAAATTTTTATTTTATAGGTTTTATTTTCGATACAAAATTATATTTCTGTACGTTACATATATATTGTATAATATACATACATTACATATATAAAATATACATTTTGATTTGTGTGACAATTAATATATAAAAAAATAGATACGTATTATAATACTTATAAAGTATATTTTAAACAATGAGCAGCAGTGAATAGATGATCTTGTGTTTCAGGAAGAAAAGTCGTAGTAATTTTATTTCCAAATAAAATTTAATCACTTTCTTCTATTGGCTTTTTGTATTAAATTTAATAAAAAAATTAATAATTATTCATTATCTCAAGAAGATGATATTATATGTATATTATTCGATATATAGGATTTTTCTAGCGAATAGATTATATGCAATTCGCATTTTACTGCGTATATATAGAAACAATGTTGTTAGAATTTTATAATGTTTATTTCGATGTATTTTTATCGTAAATTATCTGCCTTTACTTTGACAGAAAGCTGATAATAATGTACAAATAATGATGCGCTGATAATGATCAGATTTTTTATTATTTGTTTCAATGTAAGTTACGGTGACATTGAACAATATTAAGTAATTTAAAATAGAAATTGCGTAAAACTTAATGCACTGCAGGTAACAAATTTAAATATGAATCTCGTTGTTCTTGAATATCGTCCCATTCATCAGGTTATATTAAGACAATCTTTTAGCCATGATTTTAAAATCCTTGGAATCAATTCCGGGAAAATATTTTTTTCCATTTTTGTCTACCATATCGGCGAAATTTTTTATCTCGAGTACTTCGAATCCTGCACCCGCTGCTGACTTCTGCGAAATTATTGACGAAAACACAGTGGACGTTGCTGGCACTCCGTACGTAGGTCCGATAAGATCCCTAGATTAATATTTTTTATAAGTTACGCAAAAAATTCAAAAATAAAACTGATCAATATGATAGATATTAAATTAATAAAATTAAATATTAAAAAATTTGAAGTAATTTTTGTATTAATAATAAAAATTAATTGTGGACCTCTCTTTGGAACTTAAATTTTTGTGATAACAAGATGATCATTTTACAAGTTATTATGCATTGTTAATATGTGTGACTACCGTATCTCTAGAATATTTAGATTGCGATAATTGTATTATGTGTTAGGAATAGATTTTTATTTATGTAATTTGCATTAAAAAGGAACCGAAATCGTTGATCAAAATGTCTGCATTTTAATTCGGAATAAATAATAAAATTGTATGCACCGTTAACGAGTTGGCTCTCTATTGACTATTTTTTTCCCTTTTTAATAATGAAAAGTCAACTTATTGATAATATATAATATGTTCTCTAAATCTGAATCAGTGAATAATCACTGATACTAGCCAAGTATGCCACTGGTAATCAGTGAATTAAATGTGAAATTTTTAACTTATCTAATCTTTATTGTGTGATTTAACTAACCTTGTTTTAATGCATAAATTCAATGAATATAGTATTAGAAGATTAACAAAAAAATTAACGTGTAAATATCAGTATTTTAATTACATAATGCTCAAAACATTTTTCCTTTTTTAGTTGAACTTCACTGATTATTCAATGCCAAGTATGCCATTGGGTCTGACTGGATAATTAGTGACTATCCATTGATTCAAATTTAAAGTGTAAATACACAAATGGATCATATAGAATTTGTTCAATTTATAATATTCTTCAAAATATTAAATTTAATTTTTTAACATTTTGTTAGTAATATAAAATTATATTACAAAGATTAAAACAGATCAGGAATAACAGATAATCTGCACTTTTCGGATATATAATTTATTAGAAAAAATTAAAAAACTCTCTTTATACTTATTCTGAAAAAATTTTTTTAAAGAACTATTGAATATGAAGTGGCGAAAGATCAATAGCATAATCTATTATTCACGTACGAATTAGTTTTTTAACAAAATCATACCTGATTTTCAGAATATCCTTGCCTAATCCGTATCCTCGATAGTCAGAATCTACACTAAGTCCAATAGCATATAGATATTTGTCAACTTTGTAATGTTCATATACTATCTTTGTTGAACCAGTTACGATTTCGAGCACATTTTTGCAATTTTCTGACTTAAACTGTAACGATTATCAATTCAATTTATTGTTAGTTAATTCAATTTATTATTAGTATAATTATCCGTTACGACAATATAATACTTAATAAGGTATAGATAGGAAACAACATGACTCCTTGTGACTCAATATTACGACAAAAAGTCAAAAATGCCAATAAGAATATCAAAACACGTGACGACCATTATTTATGTGTATATGATAACATACTTAAAATTTATACACTGATGTTTATGGCCTTTTTACTGGTTTTAGATAGAGCTGCCATCCGTCCGGATTTTCCCAAACTTTTCCTAGTTTTGAAAGTATCTGTACGCAGTTTTTGAACGGTCTAGGATTTTTATGACTTTTCATTGTACTTATATTATTTGATAACAGCTGCACAAACGTGTCGTAATTGAATTCCTATTTCCCAGTCTACGCCTATCAAAAATTTGAGTTTTTGTATGTTTACCACTGTGATGTAATATTAACTTACTAATGTTTTTGACATCGATCATATATATTTTATTATATATAATATTATATAATATATTAATATTATTACATATTATAATGATTATATTCCAGCTTCACTTTATATTTTAATTTAGTAAGTACAAAATTAATGAATGTACTTTGTAACTATTGAAACTTTCATTTTATTTATGAAAGCAATTTTTGGGTATAAAAGTATTACATTAGTATTACTAGTATTATATTAAGTAACTCTCTCTCTCTGAAATTTACTGTGAGAAAATTAAAATTAATATTTAAAAAAATCCTGATTATTAGTAATTTAACAGATGACAGCCCTATTTCTCATATGACACAACAGCATTAAAATTTTTAGAATTATATAATATAATATAAATAACAAGAACTATGAACTAGTTAAAATTAATAAAATTTAATATTTAAAACTAAAAATATAAGAAGTACGTACGTTTCGACGCTAATCGGGTCATTCTCAATGTTAGAAAATATTAAAATAATAATGTTACAATAATAGTCGGATTCTCAAAACGTGATCTATAAGATTTTTTGAGATAATTGCGATGCTAGTTACGTGGGTCAAACAAACAGGCAATTAAAGAGATTGCATAAATATGTTTCCAATATTAATAGAAAATCTAAATCGCTATTGGTATGATTTCCACTACGTTGATCATAATCACATTTTAAGTGCGATAACGTTAAAATTTTAGATATTGAATCCTCTTATAACAAAAGATTAATATCGGAAATGGTCCATATAAAAAGATAGAAACACGGGATTAACAAACAAAATGATATGCAATCTCTGCCGGAAACATATTCTAACATCACACATTCTCTTTCCCTTAATACTTTTCTCTTTCCTCCTTCCACTTATTACTGTCTCTGAGTCTATTTGTTTCCTTTTTAACTCATAACGTTGTCTGTACTGTCGATGTTACACGTTTCTCTGCTTTATCGCACTATGGCTTATAAAATGATAATATCTATTGCATTTCTCTTTTTAATTTCCGACTCACAATAGTTTGACTGAAAAAGGTATATATATACAATATATATATATATATATATATATATATATATATATATATATATATATATATATATATATAATTTTATATAC